GCATTATTGGGTCGTGCATTATCGTGGCTGTACATTATTGCCTCCCTTATGAAGTCACAGAAGAAGTCACAGAGTAAGGGGTGTGAATATTGTGAAAATTCTTTTTTAAACATAACTTATGTTTCATTTCGGTTGGTTCTTAAAGTTTAGAAGAGTTTCATGTACAATCGGGGAAACTGGCGGTGTTCCACCTTAAAGCTACAATCATTTGAACATTTTGAAACCAGACGCAGAACAAAAACCAATACGACTCATCTTATAAATAGATCCACGGTTTCTTTTTATCCCTTCATTTGCACCACTCATTGCCGTTTAAATAGTTATTTTTAGGAAGAGGAATTTGTCTCGTTGCAATGAAAAAAGCAATTTATCCAGAAGTGGAACAACGCGGATTCCCGCGACTGTAGATTACTTAAGAGGATGATTATGAAAAGCAAACGTGCTAGCTTTTCGCGTTATTAATACACCGACGAATACAAGTACGTTATTATACGCTGATTGTTCTATAAAAAAAAGTTTCTTTATTGCAACAACTTTTGTCGCGTATGTTTAATACTTATTTGTCGCGCGACTAGTAGTTTGATAGAAAAGGGGTCCTTTAATAGTTAAATATATGTTAGATTCAATCAATTGATGTATTTTATTTTATAAAAACAAAATGCAGCTTCCATAATACAGTTAAAGCATTATTTGTGACGTTTTAATTAATGTTTATTTAGTTTTATCACTATAGCAAAACAAATAGTTATATTTTAGATTTTTTAACAATGCTAACGTTTATAAACTATATATAATTAACATTCTATTGTAAAAAAAAAAACATTGTTACAAATACTTTTGGACACCTTACATTATAATGAAATATTAAATTAAATTCATGGGCCTAAAAATAGAAAAACATCGTAAAACGATTAACAAAATTGTAAGATCTACATAATATTTTTAGATGTGATCAATACACAATAAGCTTTCATTTTGAGCGTTTCTGAGCGCGTTTTTAAATGTTAGCCATTTAATATAATTTTAATTAATATTTTGAGCATTGGATTGTAGCACATATTACAGAAATTTACAATAGGATTTTCCTATAAATTTCATTATTACATAATTCATGTTAAAACAGCGTGCAAAATATTGTATACTTAAAATAACGAAAGCGATTGATCTTATTGAATACCACATACAGATAGATCCACAAACATATAAAAATAATTCGAAATATAAGTAGATACTTAATTCGTATTTAATAATAGAAATAAAAAAAAGATACTTTCATGTACCGTTTTTATGAGTTAGCAGGTCAAATTGGTCATAACATTAATAGTTGGCACGTCAGTAACAAGAATTCTCATCTAGACGACGTGCCAACTTAAACACCAGCCATGTTTTATAGGTAGAAATTATTTATCTGGTTCTTTAGCAATTAGATAACCTTTATATGATTTTTTGTAATAAACAAAAATATTTTTATTTGGTCAGTTGCGGTGAGTTTGTCATTTCAATGATATCTGCTCTGAGTGGTCTTTTGACCGGCGTGACTTCTGGCGTGTTGACCGTGGTCTCCTGTCCGGGATCTATTGAGGCCGTCACCAGCTCCGTGGTCGCTGTCGGCTCCGATCTGATCGATACATTGTCTTTGACGATTGGCGAGTTCGGGGAAGACTTTCGACGTTTCGTTTTCTTTAAATACGGAGTTATTTTCTGCAATAAATAGATTTTAATTATTGAATAAGATACTTCGACATGACTTTCTTAAATTAAAATAATAATAACTAATTAATTTTTTATATTCATCTATATTAATATTATAAAGAGGAAATATTTGAATTTTTGCATGTATTAAATTAACTCAAAAACTACTGGGCCGATTCCAAATATTCTTTCACCATTTAAAAGCTACGTTTTCGCTGAGTAACATAGGCTATACTTTTTTTACTATTATTAATTCCACGTGTATGAAGTCGCGAGCAACAGTTAGTTGTCATATTAAATGCTACCTGTTCCCTTACGGCTTCATCAGTATGAAATTATAATAACTTTATTTCTTTGTTTACCTTTGTCAAATGTCAAAATACAAATGCATAAATGACAACCTTGCTTCCTTAATGTTGGCAGCTTGTAGTTTATGATCCCTTTCCCACATTAATGTTTTTTCCAATTTATTTACCCCCTAAGATTAATATCGGGAAAATGTATAGCCTAAAGCGTGTAGAGGCGTGTAGTGTAAAGGTTTTTATTAAAGAAATAATTATTTAAAAAGATGCTGTGATTGCTGACATCTTACGCCACAAAGTAGTGTGTGTTTACGCTCTATTATATAAGTATAGATATTCTCGCCTGTTGTGGGTCCTCAGCGAGGTACACGGCGGTGCGTTTGACGACGAAGTCCCTGGCGGAGAGACAGCGCGCGAGCAGCAGCGCGGCGCCGCACGCCCAGCTCGCCCACACGCCGGCGCTGGCCGCGCGCGTCGCGCCCGCGCGCCCCCCCAGCCCCCACTCCGCGTGCACACCGCGCTCCACGTACCCGTTAGCACCAGAACAACTGCAACACAGTTTATGCTAATGGTAAAATTCTAGCAGGGATATTATGTAAATCTAAAAAGACTGTTTAAAGATATTAGAGGCTTAACAAATATACTAATATTATAAATGCGAAAGTTTAGATGGATGGATGCTTGTTAGAGTTTGTAGCCTAAACGGCTGAACAGATTTCGATAAAATTTGGTATAGGTGTAGAGGATAGTTTGGAAAACACATAGGCTACTTACTTATGTTCTTTTTTTAATTTCACGTGGACGGAGTCGCGGGCGAAAGCTTGTAACCAATATTGTATTTAATAAACTTTAAAATTATCAAATACAAATATGGTTGTGCAAACTTAAAACTGATCTACGGAATGACAATGTGTACTAATTGTAAGTCTAGGAAAGCGCCAATGGTCAATGTATATCTTACGTGGTGGTATTAGTGACATTAAAGAAGGCCACACAGAAGTCCTGGATGCCACTGTTGGTCTGTATGAAGCTGTGTCCCGTCAGCCCCACCAGCACCAATGAGAAGATCAGTGCCGGAGCCACGATACGCCACGGACGCTGCAGCCTGTTATACGATTTAAAACTTTACCCCAAAAGAAAGATCTGTCCTTGCATCCTTTACCGACACCAAAAATTGTGGTGTGGAAGAATTTATGACATAGTAAACCTATCTTTACTTACCCTGATCTTGAATGTCCACCTCCAGGGCACATGGTGAAGAAAGTTATCCACACAGCAGCGAACACCGTTGACATGATGGGCATATACTCCACAAACTGGCAGTCATTGTCTCGAGCGAACAGAGTCCTAGATGTGTCAAGCATTAATCGGTGGGTTTCGTTACCTGAAAAATATTCATTATATTGCTTTAAGCAAGAACTGCAATGTTTACTTACATCCTTTACTTACACTCTTTTTTATATAATTACAAAAACTGTTAAAACTATTCCTAAAATTACGTCTTCTGACTCATTATGGTTTACTGCATTCTTATCATTAATAGCACACCCAAGGTACCTAACTGCGGGTTGGTTGACTTCATAAATATCTTTGTATCTCTTTGCAGATATATGCAGGTTGCATCACGATGTTTTCCTTCACCGTAAGAACGTCGGGTAAATTATGTACAATTGAAAATCAAAATACCCAAATTGAACCCAAGACCAGTAGATTACAAATCAAGTGCTTGAACCCATGAGCCACCGACGCTCTTGCTTATTATCTTGTTAACCAAGACTTTTTTTTATCTCTGATCGTTTTTATAAAATGACTATAATCTCACCTGTCAACATGGTGACGTTCTCTTCTTCAACTTCAGGATGGTCGACTATATCCATCGCTTGTCTTTTATTTTTATTCGTTTCGTCATTAGACGTCGAGTCGCTCCCATCAGTCACTATATTAGCATCAACTTTGTGCTTGCTGGACTGATCTTTGAAGTTATACGCATCTTCAGCAGTATTATTTGGCAACTCAACCATCCTGAAGGCGAGCTCACGAGGTCTCAACACACAGTTATTGTCAACCAACTGCATCGTTTCCTGTAGGAAAACGTAGTTCAGGATACCGAATATTCCAGCAACGGAATAGAGTACCAAATGCCATGCTGAAAAAAATAAATTGTCAGTAAAAGCTTTGAAGACTAAATTAATCGCTGATAGTATTTAAGACTCCAAAACATTGAATTGTGCATTGTTCTCGTATATGAAACGGTGACATAAAACGTAGAGGCAGCGTTTATTACATTTTCCTTAAATATATTTGCGGTGTCAATTAAGCTATGGATCGATCAACAATATTACTTATACCCGTAGTAGAACAGCTCAATATTTAATACAAATAGACAAAATAATGTATTTAGAAAAATCTCACAGAGAAAATTTCACACTAGACGAACTATTTTGCATCACGGCTCGTATTGCTCGAAGATAGGCAAATAAAAACAATGTTCAAAACAGTTTAAACTTTGGATTTCGGTAAAAAATTGATATGCTTAGATGTGAGTAGGAGCAGAAAATTATTGTTCCGATGAAGAGGAACTGACTTATGTTAAAACAGAATCAGGGTTAAGGGTTCCCTGATGGAAATATTGCATTTGAATTGTTCCTATGTGGCCTGTATCCGAGTGGGACCGACCTTGTTTTACAATCGGTACAAGCGGCAGTCTATGGTCTGCTATATTTATAACATTAACGTTCTCGCACTGGGATCGTTTTCACATTGTGTGCCGACATATGTTTACATTGCCTTTAGGATTATTAAGTATTCTCCAACACTATTTGTTGTTGGGCAATGAAAATGAAATACGACTCGAACTTTAAAATACTAAAAAATAATATTCATTCGCATTGCTACGTACAGCAGAAATTTTTTTATAAAAAATAGTCCAAATGTTTGAAATGACTTTAATAACATGCATTAAGTCGTTTAAAGTTAAGGAACAAACCTTAACAGCGATAAGGTTGTTTATCTCAGTGGGTCATCTGGCAACGTGGCTAGCGGCTCCATGAAGTGCATGCGTTAAAGTTCGTAAAATATACACATAATCTTAACTTTACCCATATACGTATATTTATGGTCGTTATAAAAGTGTATACGCTGTAGTTTTAACAAAAATTGTATGATAGCCATCATCAGTATTGTTTTGTCGAAAAGTTTGTCGAAATTAAATATCTTATCTAAAATCTTATCGCCCACACCACATACTCGTACTTCGCAATGAACATTTTAAATTAAATGTACTTAATTTAACTCTACGGATGCGTTATCAAGACAGTGTCTGTACTGAATAAAAAACTTAATTGAAGACCGCGTGGGCAGTTCTCTACACTCATAAACATGTTTATGGTCTAAATCTGGCGAAAATCAAGAAGAACTAATGTATTAAATTACATATATCACTCATATCGTTGCATAATCCATTAGGGAAGTATATTGGACCGAAATCTTAATTACAATAGTATAGTTGATTAATTTTGATTTCCATGCGCTAAAGCAGCGTTTTCTCTCCACATTTTGCAATTTAAATCATTGCAAATTCCCTGCATACGAAATACGAGATAGGTGTGTTTATCACAATGTCATCATCATTTTCCCCTAATGGTGGTAATGCTAGAAATATGTAACGACTTTCTGACTCATTGTTTAATCACATACTTTGTCTTTAGTATTAAAAGGGATTAATGGACATTATTCTACATTTTCCATTGCCGAAAAACATGTAGACAATAAAAAAAAATGTAGAGACGTAAAAAGCTTCAAGAGAAGGGTGAACAGTTACTTATTAAGTTAGCGCGTACCATCCTTTGACCACATCACCACTTAATGTTAGGTCAGTTCGTGGTCCGTTATTGTTTTTAATAAAGTAACAAATGCAGTTTTGTACATGTGTCTTTGTGGTCGAGGGAGACCAAAGCTCTGATGGATAGATGTATCGAAACCCGATGTTATTATCTTTAGACCGCTTGTATACCCACGAACATCTCCAGAAGCAGAGTTTTGTTGCCAGTTTCTCCCAAATTAGAATAAAACCACAAGCACTCGACACAGGCCCAATCCGCTGAGGGAGAGCCATTAAACAAGAAATAGAACCCGATGTAGACAAATTAGTAGTCTGTGGTCAGAAGACTGAAATAGTAAATGTTTCTGAATCAAAATCAAAAGGACTGTAAAGTTATAAGTGCTTGCTAACAGTTATATATATAAACTTGTATGTACCGTTACATGTTGAATTTATCCATCTAATATAGCGATGACATCATTATTGTGATGCGTACTAAGTACAAGTTACATTCGAGTGGCGGCCTTCGAAATATCGGAGTGGACCTGCGGGGACGGAGGCCGAGGACTGATAAAAACTGCCGTCAAAATGTATTGTTATGTTCCTTTGCTGTTTTATTCTTTTAGTCTTTCGTACTTGTGTCAAAAATCACTATAATCTAAAGGAAACAACTTTTATATTTTAGTTAATTAAACAGTATCGGGTACTGTTTTTTTATTTTATGTCAACTGCCAGTATCTATGCATTTCTAAAGGATACGTTTAAAGGTAATAGTTTTAATATAAAGTTTAGGATAATAATTGGTTACCTTTCCACGCGTTGAGATGCCTGGAAGCGCGTTCCTCCAACTCGCAATAGTCATAAATCAATATTGTCATCTTTTATACGTAATTCAAACCTGAAACAACAATAGTTAAATTGTAAATAATATTGAAAAAACTATTTTACAAAAGTTATTAACCTATCAATGTTTTAAAAATTGTCGTTCGTAGTTAATTAATTAATTTTTTATATGTGTCTGTTTATTGTCCCTTGGCGCACGCCTAATTTTTGTGCGGTTGGTACGGTTTATACACTTTCTTTCTTTAATCAGGTAGCTTTAACTGGCGGCTTGGTATTGGTGGTCTTTGTAAAATACAACGATATGTGATGTGTATGGATCGTTTGATAAATTATTATTCCTATGAGACGGATGACGTAATGCGATATTAAATAATATTTATTTATATCAAGCACCGGTTTGGTTATTTTAATAGCTTCAGTTAAGTGATATATTTAAATAACTGCGTTTATCAATGTTTATAGAAGCGTAACGCCCTATATAAATAAAACAATAATAAACATCAATAAAGAGATAAAAGGATACTGTTCGCGATAACCTCGAAATGGTTTACCAGTATGCAATATACAAGGTGAAAAAATCCTAAACAAATATTGCAAAATTCGCTTACTCACATAGTTTACCTATTCCAAGTAAACTGCACACATTTTGAACGGCGGCGCGTGAGAATCTGCCACATTCAATAAACATAGACTACTAATAGACACTGGCTGCATGCATAAGGGGCGAGTAATCGAAAAAAACAAAACTTTTTATGTTTTGTCAGTCAGTGTTCCTTACCGAACTATAAAAAAAAAATTATCCACCACTGTTAACTTTAATGGTCGCCTGTTATTTTGCTTTGAACACTTTGTATGATATGGAGACACTATACAAATCCAAAGAAGCAGAAAACTCTAGTAGAAAAGTGATCTTAGACTTCGATTTTTTAATAACTATTTAATAGATAACGTAAACTAATCTTATAGGTTATGTTGGTTGGTTTGCCCGAGTGCTAAAACGGAAATTGTGTATTTCATGTGTTCAGATAAGAATGCATTAGCTAGTAAATTGTAACTTCATATTTTTTTTACTCTTTTTGTTCAAATGCACTTTTAATACCAAACATCATAAAAAACATCGATTGTTAAAACCTGTATTGTTAAAAGTGACTTCCAGTAATGTGGAAACAATAGACGTTTTTCTCTTATCTAAAAGCAATTTGTATTTTTTTATGTCTATCAATATCTCTGTCTCACTGAGGGTACTGTAAACCTATAGGCATGTGTTATTTTCTAGCATGAATATGAATAAATGGCATAATATTTTTTTTAATGTAAACATTCTTTACATACTGTTTAAATTTTTCTGTTACATCTTGAAGAAAGACTTTTCCCAGCTTTCAAATTATTTGATGAAATATTTGGGCTATATTCTTCTAAGTCTAATTTATTGTTAGAAATATCCATAGACGCATTATTTAAATTCAATACGAGATATTACGTAAGATGCTGCAGTGTTGGAGTCCTTGCTTACGAAGCTTGAAGGTCAAGGATAAAGGTTATGGGACATAAATTACATTGCGATAAATACGAGGGAACACAGACGATGGGGAAAAGAATATGTTTCGATGTGGTCGGCATAACGACCAAGGTTTATCGATCAGAATAGTTATAAATTGAAAACAGATCTATACTGACTATACTGAAAAAAATGTAATCTTAATCTCTTCGTATAAATTGTAACATTACGAAGACAAGTATGATATTAATTTTGAATTCCTGCGCCCTATTGTTGGGATGATCGTGGCCGGAGATGGACTAAAATGAAAAATCCAACCCCACAAATGGCTTAGAGTAATAGAGAATTCATAAATCTATTGTCATGATAAACGTACCGTGATCTACATTCTTAAATCTTATTTGTCATTATTTTTTCAAGCTCCTATGCAGAATTGGGGACCAACAGATTACCTTTAGGACTGATATTGAAAAATGTAGATACCTCATGTTCCTACGTATTGAGCATTTATTGAGGATTAAGTTTTTTGAATAGATATAAGGAAACCACTGTTTATTTACATAAATAACAATAGCGATAAACGTATTAAAACCACAAACTCGTACATCCATGCTTTATCAATATTTATACCGGTTGTTTATAAATGTGTTCTTACCTCTTAGATTTATTTTAATTTAAACACGATCGTATTCATATTTAAATTACGGTCACATTAGCTTAAAAAGTTCACATTGTCATTGATAATTTTGTGTTTCAATAGTTTACAGCATAAAGATTGAAAATAAAAACATTAATGGCACTAACACTGCTGACACACATAACCCACGAGGCGGCGGCGGCTTGACTGGCTAACATAAATAGAATCTGTCTCTTTGGACCTTTTCTATCTGATATTCGATTCAGTATTAGACAGAGATAGCAATAAAGAAAGATACTTCTTAAACGTCTACACGACAAGGATGGCTAGTAGTTTTTTGGTGTGTTTTTAGTGGTAACCGCAGTTATGATGTCATCCGCTCACTGCCATTTTACGATACCGTCCCAAGTAACCAGTTTAAGGTAGACCCAAAACTAGCCATGGGTAACTCAACTAAAATCCGATCTGCAGATCAGCAGCAGATCAAAATTTGTACTTGCTTAGAGATATGGTTCGTTGAACAGTTCGCTCTTTGTAGGCTCCCATAGTTATAGTATGAGTTGTGAGCTGATAAATTACTTGTTGAGCCGCAGCTCAACGGTAAACACCATGTGAGCTGATCTTTTGAAGCGGTTAAGAGCTGATTTACACACGTCTAACCAAAAAACAATCGTTTTTGGACAACATTGTAATGATGATCTTGAAATCATTGAATTTTACTTTCTTATTAACATCTTAAATGCGAAAGTTTGTAAGTTTGGATGGATGTTTGGTGGAACGCTGAATGACTCACCATGAAAATTTATAGATGTCAAGCCATGGTCTGTGGAAGAATACATAGGTTCCTTAACAATATTTTTCACGCAGTGGTGGGCTTCAGCTAGTTTCTTATAAACACTGTTGACTTTAATTTTTCAACAACCGAAATTAGTTAAATAACAACGGTAACCTATTTATTTTATGTCTACCTACCTTAAACCCACATAATGGAAAATTCACATGACTGCTTTTTGTGGTATAACATACGTATTCAGTACGCGTTTTTAAATTTTACAATACTTTATTTAACGAAATTCGTACAAAATTAGTATTTACTTGGACCCAATTTGGGTTTACAATAAACTTAAATATAATATAAGCTAGCTTTCATACATAAATATCAAATAAATTCAATAATAAAATTAATACTGCTCTATAAGTTGCTGTGTTTCTAAAGTTATTACTATAATTTACGAATCACACTTGTCCAATATTAGTAGCTAAGTCGTTACATAGACACTTCTATAAATAATCAATAACCGTTGTAAATAAGCAGCATAAAATGTATCTTAACCTAAATCACAACAATTAATATTGTTACATTCAATATTCGTTCGTGGCATTTTGGAAAATATCAGTTCAACAGTGACTTCAAACTTTAAAAAGACAGTCTTCTTCTCAACAGTTTCCCGAGGTGATCAACAGAAGACGTACGGCCTCACACAAATGGGGCATCTGTCGGATGTAGCGAGGCACCTGCGGAGGCAGTCAGCGTGAAAGTAGTGCGCACACGGCGTCACCCGCGCAGATTTCATGCTAGCTAAGCAAACTGCGCATACGTCCTCCAGGGTCAACAGTTCTTCAGGCGTCGCTCTTCGGAATTTCGCCAACGAATCACACGCCTCATTCATTTTTACCAAAGCCTCTCCTAATCTATGTCGACCATGCATGAACACGCACACATATAGAACGAGAACGGATAATCGCCATCGCTCGCACCACGCTAGTGCCGGCACCAAGGGCAAAGCCAGAGCTGTCGTCACGCCTCTAGCCCAAACTCCACAAAATAGCACCTCCATACCCTCCAATCTCTCCAGCTTCATTGCGGACAATGCGAGAGGCCACAATTCTAGGAAGGTTCTCTCGGTCAATAAATAATAAGTGCCAGTGATGGCCGTGTACAGAGCTGTGGGTCGGAAGTGTTCTAATCCTTGCTCCAGACCTAAAGTTAGAAGGATAAATGTGATTGTGACTATGAATGTAACAGCTTTGGTCCACTCGAGGACGATCTTTGTGGCGGACATGGCGAGGTGCTTGACGCGGGAGTGGCGGGTGACGTTGACATAGGGCGACCAGTCCTCCTTGGTGCAGATCTCGCGCACGTAGCTGACGGAATACGTGATGACGTTGTAGAACATGAGAGAGTATAGGCATGTAAGCCGGCCCTGGGATACGAACAGCTTGTCGCATGCAGTGAACACCAGCAACTGTGAAAAAGTAAACATATTTTTAGTATAGAAGGATCCCAATCGCTTTCAATTATAAAGAACAAGTTATAATTGTAACTTTGAGTTTACCTGGCATATCATGGTGGATAAGTTGTTCATTTGAAGGAACAGTCGCTCAGCACGCTCTAGCGGCGCGTATGCAGTTCGTAGCACGCTGAGCAAACAAGCCCCTGGCGCACGCAGTCTACGTGCGACCTCTGGAATCAAGATATTGGACGTGTTACGATTTAGTGACATAATTAGCAGCATATATTTCGGGGGTACACGGTATCAATAGAAAATTTAGCCTAACTCTAACTCCGATGTTACTATGTGTTTACATACTAAAGTATACTTGCGGGACGAATTGGTAGCAAAGTCTCCTCATACTCAGTCACCAACTACTACTTTTTTAATAGTTATAATAATAAAGATTATCCTATGGCAACAAGTTCATCGGACAGCGACCGTGGGCGGTGAAGACCTGTCAAATCTTATCCATTTATTTTCCAGTTTCATAGAATTTTTTCACTCATTTGCATTAAATATTTTTTCTTACATTTCGATGGCAAGCATTCAACAACATTGCCCACTGATAATTACTTCGAAATATTATTTTGTAATAACAATTTCAATTGTATTAAATTTTCAATTGCTTTTTAAAGATAGTAACTAGCTTGTAACAATATACAACCAAAGTAAACAAACAAAAAATAGTGGTTATATGTAGGAATGAACACATGTAAAAGGTGACCTCAGATATTTAAGGCGAATGATGGTTGGGCTGCGCTATTTGCCCGGCTAACAAGGAGGATATTGCATTTTAAGGTATTCTGGTTTATCTTATTTCATCCGATCATAAAATAAACAGTTTAAACTTTTTAATCATAAAACTCAAAGGCTTGTAAATGATGTACTATATTGCATAACGCTTTCCTCCGGTCAAACCCTGTTGTCCAGTGGATGATTTTCTTAAGATTTCCTTTTGTATAAAAGGACCACCCTTGCCTAAGAAAAATCAGTTCAGTCCATTCTTCCATATCAAGCAACAAGAAATTCCTCCAATTTTGCTGGTAAGTTATCTTGTAAAGTTAGTTCTTAACTTTTACATTTTTCTAAATTTTCAATATTATAAATGTACTCTGTAGCCTTTCCGGCCAGAAACCTTTTAAAACATTATAAGCTGATAACCAAAATCAGTCTTAGACAAAACTGCTGACTCTCCTATAAATAATAAAACTGATCGATTTAAAAGCGCTAATTTTTTTTTTTCGAGACCGTCAGAAATCTGAGAGTTCAGTTCAGTTCAGTACATCGCGAGTTTACAACAAAAGAAATCACCAAATAACTTGTACGAGCACATGTTTTTGTTTAGACACAAAATGTATGTATGTAGTATTGAATGACGCACAGCGGCTGGCATACATCCAGCTTCCGTCGCCTCATTCAGCTTCGTTCCGACAATGACCTGAAAAACTGCGGGAACGCGTATAAACAAATCGGATCTAGATGCAAACATCGATCGCCGTTTTAACTGCATTTTCAATGTTTGTTTATCTTGCCCGTTATACTGACGTAAGCTTAAGTTTATATTTTACCAGAACTTTCTTAATTTGTTGCTTGATTTGCTTGAAATGAAAAATTAAAAGCCCTGATGAAGATTACTTTTACCGTTTATGTGTTCAGTTTATTAGTTTATTTACCACTAGTTTATTTATCCAACATACTAGTTAAGTGCACTTTTATATTAATTTCCTTGTTAATTACTTTCTTTTAAGTATCTAGATAGGACATACATGTTCTAGACCTCGACATATGCAACGTTTTGTTACTTCATGGACAGTTCGTTGCTTATTGTTCAGACATAGTGAAAGTTTGGCTCTAGCATCATAATAAACTACGTCTCATAATATTTGTTGTTTATAAAAATGTGGTGCAATCAAATTATTAACGTACTGCTGCATTTGTTGTTTATTTACGTTCAGAAATCCTTCTACGCGTTAATTTGTGATGAACTTTAACTAATGATCCTTTCAGATCGCAAACATTAAATTAAAAAGTTCTAACTAAATAAAAATGCTTTCGTTTTTCAATTCAACTAATAATTGGTAACTTTACTTTAAAAATTTTTACTAAAAAAACTTTATTTTAAAATTTCTCAGCCCAACATGATTTTGGCAAACTTAATTGTTTTATTGTTTTTTTTTATTAAATTTTGCTTGTCTTGACTCATATCACCATTACTATCCCGTATAGTTACTACGCCTTGCGTTCACAGATGAAAAGCAAAGGAACCATCGATTTTAAATTAATTTAAATGAATCCATATTGTTTTAAAGAAGCTTTATATAGCTGTATAGCTTCGCCTCACTGGCTGTACTGTACCTCTGAAAACCTTAGATGAAATCTCAATGCCATTTTGGGTCGTTGCCTTTTGGGAAATTACTGAAAACGTTATTGGCTTGTGAGACGATTGAATACCGCATGTGTCGAGGTATTTCACTACCAGTTCATTTACTTTGCATTGAAATAATGACTTTAATTGTCAGCGACGAAAATATTTCCGATTGCCATAGCCCTTAGTTGACGTTGAGAGTATTTCCGATTGCCATAAGTCCTTGGTTGACGTTCGGAGATCAATCTTTGGTTCACGCCCACAAAGTACCTACTCAAATGTTATTTTTTTTTAATCAAAGTAACCGTTATTTTAAAAAGTAATACGAGGAAACAGTATGAGAATATTATTTTTTGTTAAGTTGACTTAGAAGACCGTAAGTTAACGTTTCAAGCTCTCGACGAGATTTTTCGGCCCACCCTTTTTTAACAGCTTTTGAAAAGTTAACAGGCATATATGAGCCTATACGCAAACCTGTGATGCCATTGAGCAGTAGTCCAACATTGCCGTTACCCTAACGCCTATTACGTACTTGTAGTAAAATCTTCCAATAGTATACACCAATAAATACAATCAAAACAAACGCAAACCTAGATACTTAAATGCTACAGTTACCTTGTGCTAGCTTAGCCACAGCGGGGTACCATCGCGCTGGATATCGGTAGTTTGCGGATATAAGAACAGGCACCACTAGACAGGTATACGCGGCCATTAGCCATGCGCCGCCCAACGCCACGAAAAGACCTCGCGGCGCCCAATACGGCAGTAGAAGCACCACGGACAGCAACCACACTAAAACAAAACATTTACAGGCTTTACGATGTTATTTCATGTCCTATTTTCTAAAATTAATTCACTGATTCGTTAACCTATCTAATATAACTTAAAATAACTTTAACTTTCTATTCTAAGTACAGTACAGTACACAGAATTGATTAGTTAAATACTCGTACGTTATAATGAAATGTTATATTTAGTAAGAGCACAAAAGACAAGTCAAAATTATTGGTTATTTTTATCTAGCCTAGTCTGTAGTTACTTAATCAATTATGGATGTTGCTAGCTTGGTAAGTAAAAGAAGTTATAAAAACACACTAAACTATGACGAGAATCGAACTTAAACCTGTCCATGCTAACTAGACATGATATCGCTGAGTCGCTCGGTGTATTTAATTATTAATAGATCGTACTCAACGTCTATAAACACAAGAATCATAAACTAGTCTTAAAAATAAAAACAAATCAACCTTGAAATAGTCACAAAGTCAAACAACATTTCTATCAATTTTAAAAACAACATACAAAGAAACGAAGAAAAGGGAGTACCAAATTATATTTTGTAATGGTAGCTAAAATGAAAACTAAATTGTAATGATTAATTTGTATAAGTAATTATTGTTTTGTACGTACCGATATTAGCGATCTTATCTTCTGATTTCATCGTGTGAATCTTCGAGAAAGAGTCACTCCTTATGCGACCTCGAACACGCGAAATCATACCCATTATTAGAAATTAAAACTTACAATATCTGTTTAATTATTTTCACTACACACAATAAATACAAATATAAAGATTATAACTTAAAATGTATTTAAATTCTTATGATTTAAAATTTTTGGAGATGCTGTATCTCACGAAGTCTGAATAACGAATGCGTACGCGATTTGTTTGGGCGGGCGGCGCATGCGCAGACGAACGCATTTTATGTTTTCTTTGTACGTGCCAATTGAAGTAAATTATTTTTAAATCCGACAACCAACATCAACCACGTATGAATATTATATTTGATACAACAAAAAAAACATAATTCCTGTTAAAAACCACATGGGACGTTAAACATTTTATTGATATAAGTATGACGTCATAATTAACATGTCAATTACTGGAAGTACAATGCCATCTCGAATTTTTTAATCCATACAATATTATTTAATGAAATACCAACTTGCAATAGTTATAAAACTATATTAATGATACCGCAGTCGAGCGATGGTGAACAAATGTTATGAAGTTTCTAGAAGGCGCCTTGGCCTAATGAAATAACATGGAATTTCCTCTGATTTTGCATTCAATACCGAATTAAACAAACATGCGAGGAAGATCTTTACATTTCTTTACAAACAGAACAGTATTTGTACTAACCTTTAGTAGGTATTTATGGTTCGTAATTCATACGAATAAGATTTGTCATCGAGTTAACAAATAAATTCATCGTTATGCCTGCTTGAAGACTATGCTATCTTTGTTTTATTAAAGAGATTGAGGAAGACGGCAATAATTTTTTTCATGTAGTGAATACTCCCGGTAACAAAATGTTACAGACATATCCCCACCCACGACAACTATTATTTAAAAAAAAGTTTAATCCATTGACTGTTTTTTTATTTGTTTTTTTTTTTGTTATTGACATAGTAATGGTTCACCGGATATTTAATAAACAATACGACGCTAAAACAGACTTTGTACCTTCGAAGATTTAATTTTCGATGAATCTAATTTTAGTACGCTTACTAGTTCATTCATTCATAAACATCTAGGAATTTGGTCCAACTAAGATGCTATATTGTTGACTCTTGAGTTAAAAATAAAAAGTGAAATTGTTTGAAATTTTCAAATTGTTATTAGTAATTTTCCTTTTAACATTTCTAAGAAAATATTGAACATTCGTGATGATATTCCTTATTCATTTTTATATTTTTATCATCTTATCGTCTTTATAAGTTGACTAGCTTTCGCCCGCGACTACATCCGCGTGCAATAAAAAATGAAAAGTGAGTAACCTATGTGTTCTTCCAGACTATCCTCTACATCTATACCAATTTTCTTCAAAATCTGTTCAGCTGTTAAAGCTACAAACTCTAACAAACATCCATGGTTTTGCATTTATAATATTAGTAGGGTTGTTGGGTTAAAATCGCCCTTCGCTCTTCTTGGCAGGCAGGTTGGCAAAGGCAAAAGATTTTCTATATCTACTTAGATAATGTTTCTACCCATAGCCTGTGCTTCTTAACGGAATTCACATACTGGCGCCTATCTGTACTGATAGAGTTTAAAAACTAACATTTCTTTTAATTCACTACAACTTTGCTACCCTAAGATCTAAGCTTTTATTTTTTAAGCAAAATAAGAAAACCGATTAAAACAAATCATCTCAGATGGCGCCTAATATTCTTTTTGTAAGTATTTACGATTTGCGTTCACCGCCTCCATACAAATCTAATTATAGCGCCTGACGGATTTTCAGTCAGATCGATGACCGGCATAAAAATAAATTAATTGGCTACGTCATTTATTTATTCCCAAATCAAACCTTCTTTAGATGCAACTTTATATGAAAATTAGCAACGATAGCAACCTATACGTCTTATAACAGACAATATAATAATATAGGCAGGATAAATAGTGAGGAATAACTAACATAAAAAGTTACCTAATAAAATATCTATAACAATTATTATATTAAGAATGGTTTAATTTCATTCTCTAGAACTCCAAGCACCATGCACCTACTAGCATACATCTTGTTTCTCACCGCCACATCGTGCATGGCTCACTACAGAGGAGGGTATGAAAGCCACAGAATGTTCGAGAGGGATGAACTACACGAAGACTTAGACGGGTAAAAAACTACTTGTTAATCTTTCTTGTCATTTATATCGAGTTTGAAAATGTTATCATATATGCTGGATATGGCTTACCCTATTATAGCAAAAAAAAACCTAATCGTTTTATGTTTTCTATCGCCACAAATACAGCAGGTATGCATATACGTTGTTTTGCTATTGAAATATTCAAGGCGCTTCAATTATATAAGACAATTTAACTGTTTTGCAACAGAATCCTAGTTGAGTGCCCAGTATGCGAAAGTAACGGATTACTCCCCACACATGAACATTGCAACATTATCAGAGGAAACAAGAAATACAAAAAATGCGAATTTGGCACATATAAAAACGAAGTCTGCGGCAACCGACGTGATTGCTACAGGGTATGAATGAGTAAATTATATTTTTAGTCTAGGTTTCGTAAAAGAGAATGAAAGAGATGAAAGGGTGTATTAATAAAATAATTTATTGTTTATTCCAGGGACCCGCAGAACAATGTACTGAAAAAATGGAGATTGATGCCTATGGTCAGAAATGCGCTTATGGCTATTACTGCGACAACCTTTACAATGTGTGCGTGGGTTTGGATTACAGCGTCGAGAGGCCTCTCGGAGTCTATAACCACCTTTATCAGTACCCGCTTCGTGATGATAAACTGATTGTGTAGGAATCTACGAAGATACACTTCAAATCTGTCAATTTATCCCACCGAACATATAAATAACACTAATTTATATTAATAGTAAATAAGTTAATAATATGCATATTAACAAAATAAAGCTTTAAAACTAATGTTCTAACTTTCATTACTACTTCAACGCTATCTAATCCTTAGTTCATAATTGTTCGCTATGCAAAAAGTTACAAAATTACAAAATTTGTTTTAATACAATTGTGGTTGATCGCCTGGTTCCTACACTAGGCTCTAGGCCCGTCTTGTAGGAGCCAGGGTTCTTCCGTCTTATTATTGTATGCTTGTTTGTTTCATCACTACGATACCTATCTATTAAGTACGGCTTTTACCTTCCTAGAAATTCAATTCGATACTTCATATGAGTCATTTATCAAACTAATCTATATTATTTAGACAAACTATAACTGTCATCATATCACCATAATCCGCTATGATATTGCAACACTTTACATCTATGTCAAAATGTCTACCAAACTAATGTCATGTCATTATTTATAAGAACAATCCAATATTTTATACTTATTCTAAGGCCATTTAATTTGTATATTTCTCCGTGGATATTAATATTTTTAACATGTTACATGATACACAACAAATTATCACGAAAAATAAAAATTTCACAAGCTGACATTAGGTAGGACTGTCAAACGTTCAATGTCAATGCCAAGGTGAACCATAAGCAAAGAGAGTATAAAAGTAGCTAATGGCAACATTTTTTTAACGAATAAGCTCATAGCTCATATGGAGCTTGTTTTTATTTATTTTTTATTTTTCTATGTAGAAAGGGTCTTTTTTCTGGAATTAGGATGTAAAATAATAAAAATAACTCTGAGAGGAGTACGTCGCAGGACCAAATAGCAATCAATACAATACTATTAATTGCCACCAATAGCGCAGCACCATCACTAAAACATTTCATCATAACAATTGAGTTGATATCTTGATAATATCAGAAATGCGAAAGTTTAGATGAATGGATGGATGTTTGTTTGTTAGAGTTTGTAGTCTAAAAATCTAAAAATCTAGTCCAGATGTAGAGGATACTTTGGTAGAACACGTAGGCACCTCACTTTGTTTTTTTAATTGCCCGCGGATTGAGTCGCAGCCGAAAGCTAGTATTGTTATAAAAATCAACATGAACGTATTAATAGCGATGAATAATATTGTAACACAGAAGACACAAAGAAGAAAGCTTTGATGAAGAACTTGTAGAACAATTAGGACAATACAAAAATTTGAACTCCAATTAATTCTACAACGTTTAATAAGTACAATTACATGTTAAAAATACGACAGCAATGAACTACTCCGATTGTCTTTGGTTTGGGATTTCCATATCCGATTTTTTTGTTCGACCGTGTTTGTCAGTTCGTTAGGTGCATTTGTGTTCGTGATCCTATCCAATAAAACTTAGGAACATATTAGCAACTTTGTACTTCAGTTATTTCCACTACAGTGTTGAGAAAAGTTGTTAATGCTCTAGTATTCAAACAATAATTGACCCTTCTAAAGTTTGACATCTCTTTCCATAGCTCATTCATCTTTCTTAGTCGTGTTAAATCAAGTTACCGGTGGAATTATTAACGATAAGCTGGAACAGATTTAGAGGTAAGTATCGAATTCTATTGGCTTTATTTAACCTCATTAAATACATTATTTAACAAAATAATCTTAATAATTATGACTTTTAAAGAGGATTAAAGTTTTAACGCCTCTAACATATAGGAAATCCTTGACAGACAAAGAGATTTTATCGTCCTGTCATTGATAACGTCCGAGTATAAAAAAATAATTGTAACAAAACCTTGACGATACATTTTCGTAAATATGTATTAGTTGCATATTGTTTCAGGAAAGATGTTTTGCAACGTTTGTGGTTTAGTTGACGATTACTACGACGAAGATGCTCTTGTAGATCACAACAACTCACCGAAACATGTTTGTAACAAGATCCTAGAAGCATATAGAGAGAAAAAGTAAGAGATGTTTCTATATATTTTTATCATAATACAAGTAAGGTGATTCATGTATTTGCATGTTAGATTGTAAAATTTCTTGGGGTATTAGTGTGAAAGAAAATTTGCAGAATTAAATATTTTCATAGAAATAGTTATGATTGCAAATCCATATAGTTAAGATAAACTAAACATCAACGCAAGGAATTACCCATATTATGATTCATCTGCAAAAAATTGACTTTAAATGAGATACAAGTTTTTATTTTTTATAATCAAACAGGAATTTATAATTAGTTGATCAGACAGTAGTATAGACAGTTTTAATAGATTTTTAGGAAAACAGTGATTCATGTTCAGTGATTATATTAGTTACCTGCAGATAAATTACCTTTCTAACAGTGAAATATGTTTAAAAATCGGCCTAGTAGCTTTTGAGTTATTCCAATATATGTAAAATTACATATCTTTCAGTTTTATAATATTGGCTTAGGTCCGAAATGTTTCGATAAATATAAAAGTTTTAGTTACTGTAACACACACTTGTGTTTAAACATCAATTTTCTTTGAAAATAGTTTGTTACCTGCACTTAATCCTTGACTGTTGCAGAGTGTTGAATATGTTATTGTTACAACATACAGACATTCAGAATTTTAGAGACTACAATATGTCAAAATGACTATCGCTTTAGAGATAAAATACCACCAGCTGAATCTGTATATACAGAGTTCACATATTGTGTGTAATAAACTCAATAAAACTTTTTTTTAACAGGAGAAACTTTGCCAAAAATCGTCATGGAGTTATCATACTTGGTAGAGGTGAAAGTATGGCCATACCTGGTGCTGAAAAGACTATTGTTGAAAATACTGACAACCAAAAAATTAGAATCACCGTAAGATATTACTTTTGATTTGCAAGTTATTGGCTTTTCTACCATTTTTAATCTTTCATACTTAATTTTAACAAAAAAAAACCCATGTTGTTAATGAAATGTTACATTATCTATGGATAATGGAAAATAAAGAATCAATCATTGTTCATGTTGCTATTGAATACTAACCGATATTAGAAGCAATTTTTTAAAATATGAATACATGGTAACATATTTCTATTACATCGATACATTTCAGGCTAAACCATCTCAGCCTGTCCAATTTTCATTTAGCATTAGTAATGATATGAGAAATGAAGACTTGTTGATAGTTGGGATTGATTTAGCTCATCCTCAACCCCAGTTTGTTATCTGCGATCATCCATATGTATTTGGGGGAGAAGCGACAATCTTGGAAAAAAGTAAGTAAAGTTATCCAAACATCATGTAGTACCTTTTTATTTTTTAACCTACTTTGTACCTATTTTACTTTGCACATCGTCATTACCTGCTAAATATCTAATTTGTATCCAAACGGTTAGCAGTAAAAAATCTATTATGCTTGCCTGTACAACCAATGTTCAATATGTATGTATTTCTTTTTGTTATTGTATTCCTTGTGTACAAAGTGTAAATAAATAAATAAATACCTAAAATGTATATAATTATGATGATTGTCATGAGCCAATCTAGGGATAGGGTAGTAGTCAACATTCTTTTATTCCGTAAGGAATGCATAGCAATATTAATCCAAATTTTTAATGATAAACCAATAAGTAGTTTTTAAGTTTTCTTTGTGAATCTATGGGAATACTTCTAAGTGATTCATAAATCTATTTTGATTATTACCATTGTAAACTGTGTAAATGAAAACATCTCTTAACCTTGCACTAAAATAAATTATGTTGTATATTCAATTTATATATGTCAAGCTCTACAATTAATTTTTTATACGATTTATTACAGAGACAACAATAAAGGACAAAGTGTTTGTGACATTTTCTGCTTCCGAGATTGGGACATTCGAGATGCCTATTATGTTCACATTTTATAGAAAAAGTGATGAACAAAACATAATAATTATTCGAGAAATGGTAATTTAATTCACAAATATCCTTTAGATTTGTTAATAATATTTTACTCTATATTACCTAGTCTATAGAATAATTATTTCAATTTGTTTCATAAAAAGTGTGCACCTTGGACTAAATTGTCGCATAATTGTTGTGCGATTGTCAATTGTTTCACAGCTCATTAAATTATTTAGATGCTCAACTACACAAGCAGTGTGTGCACCTCCATATAGGCTTCTTGAAATCAAAGCGATAGTAAACAGTTGAGCGAATGTTTAGAGTCAGGTGTGTGCATGTTTAAGAACTTTACAAACCAGTTCTTATTAGTAGTGGTTTTGATAGGTTGTCTCAGTGCTAGAGGAGCAGAGTTTCCATCCATTCACTCGGAGTCCATACATCAATGGTGACTGGGAGGCTGCAGCTAAGATCATACCTCGTACAGGCCTTTCGTGAGTATGACAATATATTCGTAATATACTGCTACAAATATACATAGATTAATATATTTTTTGAATAATGTTAATAATCAGCTTTGTTACTGATTTACTATTTAATTTGTAATTTTCTATTTGTTTAAATCTTTAAATATATTTATATTTTGTTTATATATAATATATTTATATTTTAAATGTATAAAATCTTTACAGACCATATCCAGTCAAATTCAAAATACCCCCTTTATTGAAGATTCTTTTACCTCATGGATTAGAGGAGAAAGCGTTGGAGAATATCAAAGCGCCCAAAGAGACGATGGAGGAACTAAGAATAGTGTTAATTGCTACAAGGTAATACAGTATATCGGGACATATGGTGAGCTGGTGATCAAGATGATGGGTTTAAGCACTTGACTTGTAATCTACAGGTCTTTGGTTCGAATATTGCCATGTACCAATGCGATTGCCGATTTTTCGAATTTCATACGTACATAATTTACCCGACGTTCTTAAGGCGAACGAAACATCGTGATGGAAACTGCACATATCGGCGAAATGTGTGATGTCAACTAACCCATAGAAGGGTAAGCGTGGTTGAATAAGGCCTAGTCACCTTAAATTAGGGTAGTCTCTATGCCCCTTCGGTGGGGACATATAGTGAGTTAGTGATGACAATACAGAAAAAATCACTTAATACGATATTGTTAAACGATATATCGTATATAGTGACCAAAACTGTAGATCCTTACTGAACACCGAAGACTGAACAGTATAAACTATAGTCTTAACAAATCAGCAACGGTTATAAAGACTGGCGGTTATTCTGAATACATAAGACCAAAACCTTTCGACAGCGTTACAACAGGTTTTCACTGTATTATAAAAAAGTTATGCTTTTTTGCAGGATTATATTTGACGAAGGACTAACGAAAAGTAACTACATGTCATTTTTTCATCACCTATTGTGGTGGGAAGAAGTTAAAGCTCGGATTAATTTAAGGGTGAGTTATGGCTAGTTTCTCAGCTACATTTATGTATCGAATGGGTTTATGGTTCGATGAATTCTTGATATGCATTTCCGAAATACATAACTAGAGTTTTACTCCTTTAAAATTTTAATAGTACCACTATTGAATCACTAGGTAATGATAAAATGAAAGGAAAAGTGTGTGTGTGTGTGTGTTAAATACACTCATCTTCTTTTAAATAATTGAGATAGCAATTTTGTTACACTAACCCAAATAAATAATTTATATTATAATTTGTAGTTGTTTACGCAGTGGAAACTCAAGGTAACATAACACTTGATGTAGTTATTGTTATGATTTCTTGGTACTCTCAGCTATCTCATGTTACATTCATACAGCTCAGCAACAACCGATACCCAGAAACATTTATGTTTTGACTACATTTTGTTTCAGTACCAAATTCGTTGCATTTATTTTTTTAAATTACTTGTATCGCTTTAAATATTTGCGAAAGTCTGGATGGATAGATGTTTGTTACATTCCAAAACCACTTAATAGATTTTGATGGAATGTGACTCAGATGTAGAATATATTCTGGCAGAATACATAGACTATTTACTTAGTCCTAGCGGACAAAGTTGCCAGTTAATTTAAATATGTGTGTTGTAATTGGTTCAGTATTTATTTAGTTTATTTGTGATTCATTGAAAAATGTTCTTTGTTTAATAAATATGTAGATTTATTTTCTTGATCCATCATCTAATAATAGAAATTAGGTACTAAAAATAATTAAAAATCAATGTTTACATTTTACGCTTCAGAAATATAATATGTTTGGTGTAACAATGGAAAAAAGGAATGGTGCTTATGTGTTGGAAGTCCCCGGGTTAGCTGAGAAACGACCCTCTTTGTTGAGAGGTAATTAACTCAACATTTAAACAAATATTGTTAATTTGTGTTTACAGTTTGTTAATTTTTCGTAATGAATTAATGAGATACAACTATGTAAAATACTGAGTAATAAACAAAAACATCTAATTTAAATTTGCAGTACCACAATTTATTTAACACACTGTGGCTCGCGACTTCGCCCACGTGAATTTAAAAAATAATAAAACTGGTATTACTCACATATAAATTACCTTTTTAATGGTCATTTTTTACGTAAATGAAATAAATACAAAAATACAAATCGTTTTTCTATATAATATTTGTATAGATTACATGTCACTAGGATTTTTTTTAGACAGTGAACTTGCCAGAATCTGTAGCCCTGGATGTGCTTAAGAGACAGTAATAAGTAACTATGTAATATTCCAGGTGATAGAGTATACATCAAGCCGCAAAGTTCACCAAAGCTGAATTTCGAATGTACCATCAAGGATATTGAATTAAGCAACATTGTATTGACAGATGTTGATGAAACGTGAGTTTAGGTTTTTATTTACTAGTTTTTGTAAAGTACTAATAGCCTAAAGACTACCGATTTTGCGGTCGATGGTTCTATTACCATATCCTAGCACTTATTTAGAATGGTTAAAGGAAATAAAGTGAACACAGTCCAGCAGGAAATTATATCTATTGCTGAGCGCTATAAAAACCGAATTGCAGATCACCATAATCCCTTGGTCGCAGTCGTACCAAAATGTGGTCAAAGAAGGCCACAATTATGTAAGAAATATATAGATCCTTTAGGATCTTCTGAAAAAGAAGAAGTTTTTCGATGGAGAAAATGTTCTGAAAACTTAATCGTTACTCACATTTGCTAAAAGTTTTAAAGTCTGATTGCAGATAATAAAATAACAAAAAGAAAGTAAATTAACAAAAATGTAATTTGACCTAAAAAACGTTGCAAAAAAGATGACATGTGATTTCAAAAATTGTATACATATATCAGATTTTCATTCAGAAAAATGATTTGGTTTCTTTCTAATGTGTATAAGGCAGAAACTCCCTAAAGTATAATTTCATCAAAATCTGTTCTTTAAAGAGACACAGAGAATAAACAATGCTTAGATTTGTACATAATTTTGCTTTAATTTGCAGTTTTGATCCGTTTTACAAGAGCGACGCGCTGTTCGACGTGCGTTTCCTGATGTCGCGTGTGCCCGCCGAGCGCATGCACGCGGCCGTCAACAACGTGCACGTGTCCAAACAGCTGTGCAGAGTGTTCCCGGAGAGCCCCAAGCGACTTGTGCCTCCTATACTTATTAAAAAGTGAGCATTCAAAACAGTTTATGCTATATAAGTGAATAGTTTGTTTAGAATTATTGAAATGTTGGTATTATGTAAAGAAACTTCTTACGGTGAAGGAAACCATCGTGATGCAACCTGCATATATCGGTGAAGAAATTCAAAGATATGTGTGAAGTCAACCAACCTGCACTGGGCCAGCGTGGTTGACTATGGTCTAGTCACCCCTTATTAGGGTAGGCTGTGAGCCCCTCGGGGGGGACGTATAGTGAGCTGGTGATGATGATGATGATGTAAAGAAATAGTGTATTTGTAGTGGTTAATTAATCAAATCTAATCAATAATCATACTCCACTTAGCGTAGGTGGAATCATGGTCAAGCGCTGGATTATTTATGTTAAAAAATATTATAGATACGAAAGTTTAGATGGATGGATGTTTGTTAGATTTTGTAGTCTAAACGGCTGAATAGATTTAGATGAAATTTGGTATATATGTATAAGATAGTCTAGAAGAACACATAGGCAACTCACTTTTGTTTTTATTAATCCTACGCGAACGGAGTCGCGGTCGAAAGCTAGTTATTATATAAATTAATTATATAGTCATTGATTATAATCTAGTTTTACTTGTTTAATTTAAACTAAAAAAATGTTGTACTTTAATGTTGTTTGTTTAAGTATGTATGTTGTTATTTAGTTCCTGTATGTATGTTGTTACAGCCTGAAACCTCTAGTAAATAGTTTTTTTAACTAAAGTATGAACAATATATCTAAATAAATAGGAAAAAGTATTTAATTGATCTATTTAGATATTAAATATTAATCTATATTTTATTGCAACTAATATATATATACTGGTTAATAAATAAAATCAGTTTCTCGCAATCAAGTGTTCATAGTCAAGGGGAATCCACCGAACTACAACACAATGATTAAAATACACGGGAAATCCCCTTTTGATAATTATAATATTGATAATACTTAACATAGTGTATAAACACAAATCTCAGTATTACTATATATAGGAAAGTTTAGATGGATGGATGTTTGTTAGAGTTGATAAAATTTGGCACAAATACATAGGATAGTCTGGAAGAACACAAAGGCAACACACTTTTGTATTTTTTTTAACTTTACGGATACGGATTCGCGGCGATAGCTAATACGTATATGAATTATTCTAATTTAAGAAGCTAAATCATTTTTATATTAATAAAATCAATAATTACAGGTTCTATAATAAATTGATAGAAAACAATAAAGAACAAAGATCAGCCGTGGAACATATAATAGCGGGTACATCGGGCAGGGCTCCGTATATTGTGTTCGGACCTCCTGGTACTGGAAAAACTATGACAATAGTTGAAGCTATCGTACAGGTAAATATTTTTATTTATTTATTGGTGATAACCACTCAGCATATGTGCTGATCTTCCGTGGCCATTGAAAATAGATGGCACATATGTTATAATGTATAACAAACTCATTCTCCATTACAAAATAATATGTACATTGTCACAATATAATTTTGCTTTTGCAATTGAGAACCTGACACATGTAAACAACAAAATAATATTTTAGCGCGCATTGGCAGAAATCACGAATTAAATACACACAGGGTACAGGGTATGATTTTATGTTTTATGTGTTGGATTTTTGTGTAGAAAGTGAAAGTGTTTTTAATTTAAATTTAAAAGGGTTAACAGATTTCAAATTTCAAATATACTAAATATCATACGATATCATCAAAAATTAAACTTATCTTTCGCTCTCAAAGTCCTTTAATTGCGACCTTTAGTGTTGAATCTATTGCTATAAAGACTTACACGACTTTAATGTCATTTCCACATTAAAAAAGCTATTTTTGATGATATTTTTTTTTATATTTCAATTATATAGAAAACAGCATGTTAGAATAGATCAGTTGTTATTTTTTTAAATAGTCCCTAAACAAAGGCTCGAGAGTTGAATCGTCATTTTACTCACATCTCGAGTTATGTAGCACGCATAGTACTTATTTGTACACATTTGTAGTTAAATTTTATGGAAATGTAAAAATTACCTTTTGTAAAAGACTGTAACCATAGACTTATTACAAATAGACATACCTATCGTAGCATATTTCAATATAATTTCTCATTTCCATTGAATACAAGTTTTATTTTTTAATCTTATCTCTTATTAAATGTGAATATTCTGATGATAGTAAAAATCACTGCTTCATGTTATTTCTTTTCTGTATTTTTAATTTGTAAAACGTATTGTAATGTTCCGCAGCTTGTAGTTCGTAATTCAAGGAACAGGATAATGGTGTGCACGGATTCCAACATGGCCGCTGATCACATCGCTTTAATGCTTCTTAGATATAATAAAGTATTGAATATAAGTAACTTTCTTCTCCGTGGCTGCTCTCAATCACGCGAATGGTATGTATTGCACTATTTTTTTTTTTTAATAATTATTAATTATTTTTGTAAAATGCATGAACAATTTCACCATAGACAAAAGGTGTCTTGCGCTTAAATAAATTTTCCTTTAAACACTTTCGCACGCAATGTAACATAAGTTACCAATACAATTTCATTTCACTTTATCTAGCAATTTAGTCGAAATAATTAAATGTAATACAAAAATGGCCGCCATTTATGAAAATTGGCGTTCTGCTGAAGTCATCGGCGTGAGATGAGATACTTTAGAAATTAAATCCAAGTTTCACCAACTTTCCGATGATTTCTTTTATGGTCTGTATTCTTATTAAATATTTAAAAAAATATGCCTATCCATGTCAGCTACCCTTCAGTGAAAGTCTGGTCGAAATCAGCCCAGCCGTTTCGGAGATTGCTCGGATCAAACTCGGCTTGCGGACAGGCAAACATTTTTTAAATTCGATTTTCGTTATCAACAACGCAAAAATCTTCCCGAAATCTAGAATTTTTCTTTTGATATTACAAACAGACTCTCCCATTTTAGTATGTGTATGGATGATTGTCAATTTTTCAGGAGTGTAATGCCGCAAGAGCTAGGTCGCGTTTCCAACGGCGTCAGTTACGACACGTTCTATTCGCTGAGCAACGCGAACGTGTCTCAATACAGGGTGTTTGTTACCACCTTACTACATGCCGCTAAATATGGAATGTAAGTATATATATTAATTTCAATATAACTGAAAGTATATAAGGTTTTTATTGGTTCCCTATATTATTTGATGCAACCGAGGAACCGCAGATGCGTTGCCATTTCTTGTGCTCTTAAATTTTTTTGCTGGATATTATAAGAAAGCTTATAAAATTATAAGTTGACTAGCTTTCGCCTGCGACTATGTCCTCGTGGAATTAAAAGAAACAAAAGTATGTAGCCGATACAATATTTTAATAATTGTTAAAATGTATGATTTTAAGTAATAAACAATTTATTATTATTATACATCTGTTTAGCAGTTTAGGCTATAAACTCCAACAAGCATCCATCCATCTTATGCCTCTATAATATTAGTGTTGATTATTTAAAAAATTGTTTTACCTACTATAATTTTTAGACTTAACACATTGGTAAGACCCATGTGTCAATCAGAGCTGCAAGTCACCCTGTGAACAATATCATTTAGAGCTTTTTCTGAGATGGTAAAATTGTACATTAAGCAGCAGAAGTCTACACTAAGGATCTTCCTTAATGACCATTTAATGAAAAATAATATCATATTTCTACAGATTGAACAAATGTTATAAATCATGTTTGCAGGGAGAAATCTCAGGCGATCTTCAAGTTGCAAATGACTCACCTGTTCATCGACGAGGCTGCGCAGGCGTCAGAGCCGGCGACGCTGGTGCCAGTGACTGGATTGCTGGCGCCCACCGGGCAGCTCGTGCTGGCCGGAGACCCGCAGCAGCTCGGCCCCGTCTGCATCTCCAAGGAGGCTAAGGATAGAGGACTGGGTATGGTCAATTATCACATACTAACTGTTGCTCGTGACTTCGTCTGTGTGAAATTGAAAAACAATAAAAATATAACCTTTGTTTCTCGCTGATGACTTAGATTTTGAATAGTGAAAGATTTTTTTTAAATTGGCACAGTTTTTGAGTTATTTCAATACATACAAAAATCTAAATACAAATCTTTATAATAATTCTCTTCTTTATAATATTAGTATAGATCCCCAGAATTTTACACTTTTAATAGTTTTATATGAAATACATAACCGGTATAGGTAGATCTAGAAAGAGATGGATTGCGTGGAAGTTTATATCAAGAAGAGTAATAGACGAAAGATAGTTTATCCTAGAGGACAGAACTTTTTAATAATTATTCATTTTTGTTTGACTATAGGAAAAAAGATTTGATTTGACATATCATAAACAATACTAGATTGCACCATGCGCCAACTCAAGAGTCATCTGGCACTATACGTACTTAATATTAATGATTCTTGTATATTGAATCAATTCTATTAAATTTGCAGGTGTGTCGTTACTGCAGCGATTGAGAGTAACATATGAGAATTTTTATACTGACGATCCGAACTTCATCACGATGCTTGTCAAGAACTTCCGCTCGCATCCAGATATTCTGGCAATACCGAACGAGTTGTTTTACGACAGCAACTTACAGGTAATATAATTAATTCACTTTTTTATATATTAACTCGTCGACAAATCATTCTAGAACCTTCTGGACTTGAGAGTCCATCAGGTGGAGACAAAAAAACTGTATAGGACCTTTTTCCTTATATAATTTCTCTAAGTCAATGATCTCTATAAAATGTGTAGGTCGTGTAAATGACAACGTTTTGTTAAAATTCCGAATTAAACACACCTGATGTTACAGTTCTATGTTTATTCTTTACTCGAATCCTCACCACGACTACCAACCGTTAACATCGGGGCCAAAATGGTAAAAACCATATCACTAAATATAACGCTTATAGCCTGTCCATTTATAGAGATCAGTGTATTTAGTGGATAAACCGGTAATGACATTATATGTGGAGTTATTCTACATTTATACACTAGTTATAGTTTAAGTAAAATAATGTACTTATTTCCTTTTATATTGCAGGCTTTAGCACAACTGGATCCATTAAGTGAGAAAAGCATACTGAATTTGCCGGGCGGCGAGCGCGCTGTCGTCTTCCACGCTGTTAACTCTAAAGAACAGAGGATGGGAAAAGCACCAAGGTTAGTTTATTGCAGATAAATTCTAATAGAATAAAAAAAAAAGAAAACATTGTGAATGTTTAAGTAAAAAACTTAAAATATACTAGTGGTGTAAAATATTTATGTTACGTATTTGTTTCTCTATGAATTTTATAAATACTTATGTCCGGTTTTCCAGCTACTTTTAACCATTCGTTAAAGTTTTTGGTATAATAACTTCTTGAGATGAGTTTCCGAACTACATACTCCTACTAAATACTATGTTATGATAAGAAAAAAACATACGGACGAATTGAGTACCTCCTTCTTTTGGAAAGTCGGTCAAAAATAAATAGCTAACTTCAGCAACTCAGCATTAGACATGTAAAGATTTTAAACCATTACAAGATACTCGTATCTGTGTAATTAAAAAGTATGATGAAAATTCGATGTTATGTGTTAATTTGATATTTTTTAGTTTCTTCAATGAAAAGGAGTTGGATATGCTTAAGAAATATGTGAGGGCTTTGGTAGATGTGCACAAAGTGCAGCACAAAGATATCGGAGTCATTGCACCGTACATAAGACAGGTACGTTTTAATCTAATAACTAAATTAAACATACCTTCCATATTTTTTTTACTTGAACATGGAAGTTATAAAAAAAAAAGGGAAGAACCATTAATTTAACTAGTAATAACTTTAAAATTTTACTAGCTTTCGCCCGCGACTCCGTCCGTGGATAGCCTATGTGTTCTTCCAGACTATTTTCTATATCTATGCCAAATTTCATAGAAATCCGTTCAGCCGTTTAGGCTACAAACTCTAACAAACATCCATCTAAACTTTCACATTTGTAACATTAGTAATTATAATTATTAATTTATATATTTTTTTTTTATTATTTTTAGACCATCAAAAGAATCTCACCCGGAGAGAAAAAGAGAAATTTAATTACAATAGCTCACTACCGCCTTTTATTCCATTTTCTATATTCATGTAGATTTAACATGTTTTTACAATTGTTATAGGTGTATAAAATGAAAGAATGGCTGAAAGCTTCCAACTACAACGAGGTGGAGGTGGGCACGGTGGAGTCGTTCCAGGGGAAGGAGAAGAGAGTGATACTGGTGTCCACGGTCAGAGCCAACTGCAGGCTCCTAGACTATGACGCTAAGTATGGACTCGGCTTCCTAGTCGATGACAAGGTATGCTCATTTATATTATTTCTACTAACACTAGGAACAGACTTCATTACTTAAAATTATAATTAGACTTCAAAAGTATTATAAATATTTAAAAAAAATATTCATTTTATTTTTTGATAAATTCTCACTTTTGGTGTTCATCCTTTATTACTAAATAAATTGTATTACATGTTTAGACAAACTAGACATTTTTGGGTGATAGGCACACTCATTGGCTACCAAAAAAATGTAAGACTTGTAAATGGTCAGACTGACCATACAAAAAATAATGTTTTTTTTAGTCATTTCAATATGATTAAAACTCCAAACTTAAGTAACTATACTATATATATAAGTAAGTATACTATTTACATCTTAATAATTAATAATAATTTCAGAGGTACAATGTCACACTGACCCGAGCTAAAGCAAAGCTTGTGATAATCGGCAACCCGGCTTGTCTGTCACGAGACATTAAATGGAGGAAATACATGTCATTTTGTAACGAATTGAATTGTTACCACGGAAAAGAGAACCAGCAGTTGGAGCGCACATCGCAAATGCTCATAGAAATATCACGCACAAGGTTTGATAGAGCACGTATCAGCGAAGAGTTAAAGAAAAAAAGTACTTAAATGTACAGAAATCGATTATTAACTGGTAACACAGAGTTATAAGTGTTTTTGTTCTCTTTTAGGTTAGGATTTAAATGTTAAGTTGTCAATGACAAATTATAGCCCATAAATGTATGACCTATATATAATCCGGAGCAAAAAGGCCTTCAAAGGTTTTTTATTGGAGTAAATTCCCTTAATTTTGTCCTTTACAATTCAAAATGACATTTCAAAAATCGTCAAATTAAAAAATAACGTAAAATTTTACTGTAGACTCCATCTATAGGTAATATATCTATGTTTAAGCTCTTCTATTATAAGTTTTCTATGTCTATACAAGTTTTGTTTCGTTAATACCTCTTTCTGTCTGTATTTTCAAAGGTTAAACCTTTTTTTACTGTTTATACATAGTTTTTACATGTTATTGTCATGTATTTGACATTTTAGTAATAGTTTTTTCCTATTCTAGATTTTCTTATTCATACCACTTTTGAAATTAAGTTTTAACGTAGATTAAAATCAAACAAATCGCAAACTTAAATCGAACAAGCATTTGTTTCTAAGAGATTATAAAGTTCTTGTTTTCTTGTTCTACAGAAAAAGACATGTTACATAATAATTAATAAGACTTTATTATCTTTACGTAACATTTGTTAACAATAAACACATATTTAAATAAATATAAAAGTACAATAGTAACCAAATAAAGATTTCGTCTTATAGTTCATATTAAAATTTTGGGCCACCAGGGTAAAACTTTTTGCACTCTAACTACAGCTCTCCGAATTGCGTGTTACTTAAGCAATCCCTTAGTGTGGATTCTATGAAATCTACACGAAGGTATCGCTTAGTAATAATTAGAACTCTGAGTGTGACAGTTAATAGTAATCTTTGTAGTTAAAAGTGAAACGACGCGTAAAATAACATGAGAACGAGTTCCGTGACGTCACATGCTAGTAAGCTGGGTTTGTTGCATTTTACGCGACTTTCATGTTATTGTGTGCGCGTTGTTTTGGTTAATGGAAGGTAGCTGTGATTATGGTGCTCATATTCAGATATTCAGTTAATCCCTATTGTTTACGATTTAAAAAATATAACTTTGTCCATATGATATTTAACAGTGTGTGACATTGTTGAAATATTAACATAAATAACGTTATGTTAATAATCGAAAATTGAATGTTCAAAACTATCGAAAATTAAGAAATTTGAAAATTTCTTATGTCGATACAATCGATGTTTGATTTTATCGATTACAGATAAATGATGTCACATGTTGAATGTTAATATTTACTGAGTTTCAACTATCGAAACATTTGTATGACAACGTATTGTTATCTCATTGTTTAAATAGAGAATGAAAAAGATGCAATATGTTTCGTTTGAGTGCTTCGGAAGTGGAAATGATTAGGAATTGAAAAATCATTTACCTTGAAGGGGATACAACCATGAGTTACGCCAGCTGATGAACTAGGTTAGGCCAAGGAGGGGGGAAGCTGTCGCCTCTACCCCCTCCTTGTGACGCCTAGTATACAACAACGTATAAATTATATTTTTTTTTTCAATTGACTAAGAGCTTATAGTTCGAAACGAAATTATTACGTGTGCCGTCTGGAGAGACCGCATTAAATGTGATTTTTACTAATCTATAGATATTAAGTGTTATGGCTATATACTTTAGCAAATAAGGTTAGAATATGGTACATTATAACTCGTGATTAATAACATGAGATCAATTTCATCGAACATTTTGTATAAGATCATATTTTCTTAATTTTAACCATTCCTTTGTGGAAAGAGATTAAAAGTTGTAGTTTCCATGTGTCTCATGTTATTGTGCACGGGTAGTAATTGTTTTTTTTTAGAGTAAAGAGAGTGTGTCTGCTTATTACTTTGCATTCCATCTAATGATCGCCGGAAATAAATCACAAGATTACTTGGTTACATCTTTATTGGTTTTAACTTGAAACTTTTTACATAAAACAAAATTAACTACACGAAATAAAGAACAGCTTGTATGTACAAACTACTGTATTCAAATCAAATTTTATCTTTTTTTATATGATTTGTTCTTTGTATTGTCAATAATCTGCATGCATCAGACTTGAACTGTAATGTTACCATTAAAAAAAAATAAAAATATTACCATTAAATTATGACCTAACAGTTTATGCATGTGATTTATTGTGACAAAGACCAAATTTTTGCTGTTTATTTTTAAATATTTGTTTAGATTTACAGTAGTGTGTATATACAAGTGAAACGCACTTGTAAAATAACGTACTTTTGTAGTTAACATCTTGAACACGATTATGTCAATAAATTTACGAAAAAGATACTACTTTGTTTAAAATAAAGTTTATTATTTAAATTAAAAAGATGTAAAACTCAAGTTGTATCGTCTATTTAATGCAATTGTCTTATTTGGATTAAAAAAATAGAGTGACCTCGTATTTAGAAAACTTTCCAGTGTGCCATGCATTTTATTTTTAAAAAATTTCGAGTGTCTGAACGATTCTTGTTACATATTAGAGATATTGATACTGTTTGTTGAAATGAACTACTGTAAATGGTGATCACACAAATTTTAAATAAAAAATGACTTGCATGTCTCGTATACAGTAGGCCACGTCAACAAATTTGCTCGAGACTAGATATAAGTGAAGGTAATCAAGTCAAAACAATTTGACTGCAGACAGATCCTCATTAAAGTAACCTGAAGCTGTGAAGGAGACTATATTAGTAAAGATGTCTTGTGCTATGAGATACTTTGTTCTAAGTTAGGTGACAGCTTTTTAGTACAAACATGGAAAGTTGTTACATAAATTTTAGCTGTTAGTACACTGAATTGATTTGTATTATTTACAATTTGGTCTTGATACAGTAATCTGTATTATTCATTCTAAAATACTTTAAATTTTACGTAATAAATTGCTTTTTTTCTCTGTCTAAAATAAAGAATTATTACTGTTTGAAGCTAAGGTTTAAAATGATAAAATATATAATTAATTTACTTACGTAAACTGAAAAGATGTTCTATTTTGATATTTTTTTTTGATAAATTTTGTTTGTACATCATTCGCTAGTAGGTTTTTTTTAAATTTTAGCTTTAAAGGAAAGTGTACTGTGATTACATTAAACGATTAAATAAATAAACATTAGTTTAATTTCATATCTACTAGTACAAAATTATATGAACTGATGATTTGTAAAAAATTTTTGCTGTTCTCAGTTTTTCAATTCCATGCGAATTTGAACTGTTTATGGAAGCTGGTATAATAAGAAGCCGACAAATCTAACTACCGATATCTAAAAGGAAATCTACCAAGAAGTGGGAGAAAAATGATGCTAACAACACAAGTGGTACATATTTTCCCATAGATATTAATAATAGATAGGCAATTGTTTAGAAAGACCGCTTTTGGCTTTTGCTTCGTTACGATTTAAGCGCGCCTTTTGATGTTTTTAGTTATTACATTACACTATTTTTAGTTGACAAACTCTTCCCACGACCAACTATCAGTACTAAAATGGTGAAGATCATATAGACACCAAAAATACATATTTAATAGCCTATCCATTTATACATGTCAATAACGCTGTCAACTGTCATTGTCACATGTGAATGACAATTTCCATCAGTTTTCATTTTAATCAATAGAAAGGTGGTCGTTGAAAAAACTCGTGGTTAGGATTCCATCAAAATTGGAAAAGGAATAACAGTTTTTAATATTAAAATGGGTAGATTTTTGTTGTTGTAAAAGATAAACAAAAATACATAAAGTAATCGTTAAATCCAGTTATAATTATTTTATGAACAATGATTGATAAAGTGCAATTTGTTGATATTATTGAACCGCGAAATAAACAATTTGGTATATTTAAGTTTATGACTCGACCATGGCATCCGAAAAAGAGTTTAATCATGGATACATCTTGTACGCCAGAGGAAATAAAGGAAATCGTAGCACGTTCCACATATATTGATTCATTCATTGAGGCGGTAAGAAAATGATTTATTATTGTTTTTTCATATACTCTCGTGATGTCCTCGTTTTTTAAGATAAACAAAAAGATATTGATGTTAAAACAACCTAATAAAGAACAAATAATGTTATTAGTTTTACATAAATTGAATAAAAAAGGAAAACTTCAGTTAAAAATGGCGTAAATGTTTCTTTGTTAAACAATCAATATTTTAACAGGTGCAATAATATTCAATTGTGTCATAGCAATTTAATAAATATGTAATAACTTCCTACTTGGACATTGACCTCATAAGGGTTGTGTTATTCTTTGATATACAAATTGAAAGATACCAAGTGGGGAAAGTATCAAGTCATGATAATTTTATTATTCAAAGACTTGTCGCCTATTTGCCTTAGTAGCATGAATTTTTTAACTATTAATTTCATGAATTACATTTAGATATATGGCTATTTTATTTAAAGTCTAGATCCTATAATACTACAAATGCTTAGCTATTATGACGGTTTTACATAACAATAAAACCGATATTATGTGCCGAGAAAACATACAGCATTGCTTATGAAGATGCGTTATATACTTAGCT